AAATCTGAACTCAAGTGAATTTTCATTTATATTAAATATAAAAAATATATAAATTTATATTGAAATTATATAGAATTCATTTAGACCAAATAAGATTGAAATAAAATTGTTAATTACAAGAATTTTAATTTTTTACATGTTTGGCCAAATAAGAAAATCATTATATATGATATTGTAAAGAAATTTTGCTACATAATCTTTAATCAAGTGGTTTTACTTAATAAAATGAAGGATAAATTTTGAAACTAATTTTGGGTAGGTGAGAATATACAATCATCTTAATTTGAAACCGCACTGAATTAAATTAAAATTAAAGTAAATTTTCAAAATGAAAACAACTTCAAATTAAATATAGTTCAAAATCTAATTAAATATAGTTCAAAATCTAATTAGCTCAACCGGTTTTACATGGTGTTTTGGGTTGGTCAATTTAAGCCTTTCACTAAAAATAAAAATCAAATAAAAAAATTAAATTTATCTGTGCAAACTAAAAATCAATCTAAATCAGTTTTACCTGATGTTTTAATATCCTTAAAATTAGAAAATGTTCCTAAAATTGCAAAGGAATATAAGTTCTCTTTTTTTGGAGAAATCTTGGACCATTAATTAATATAATATTTAATTAATTAATCTAATAATAATATTTTTGAACATATTGAATAACTCCAACTAAGTGCAAAATTGATCGGAGTTTTTGTCCCGTGGACGTAGCTCATAACAGTTGAAAGGTGAACCACGTAAATCTTGGTGTTCTTATTTTTCATCTGGCATTTACTGTAATTATTTAATTTTTACCGTAGTTATTATTTCTGGTGGATTTCATACAAATATATTTAAAAGAAGATTAAAAAAAATATATCAAATTTCACATAAACTATTAGATCAATTAAATATTTATTATTCTTATTATTGTATAAGATTTTTTTACCTTTATTGCCATATAATCCAAGCTATTTCTAAGAGTTTATTCAAAAGAAGAATATCACATACTTCCTTTCTTATAATAAAAAACAGAAAAAATTAATAAAAAAAGAAAAATATTAGGTAATTATTTTTTATCTTAGATAATCGTCTATAAGAAAAAGAAAGTGAAGAAAAAAATTAATTAAATATTCTCGTATACACCACTTTATCATTTATTATTTTTTCATAAAACGAACTAAAAAAAATTAAATAACAGAATATTTATATGTAATATAATTTCCAAAATTTATATTTAAAATTTATTCTATTTACAAATTTATTTTAAAAAAATATATCCAATCAAATGATACAAACATAAAAAAAAATATTAATAAAAAGTATTTTTTTTCTATTTTTTATCTCCCTCCTAAATTAAATACTTTAACTAATAATCAAAATGAAATTAAATAAATAATAAATTTTAAAAATAATTAAAAATAAAATATAAAAATAAAATATAATATAATATAAACTTTAAATTATAATCATATATATTTATTAAAAATAAAATTGAAAAAGATAAAACTTAAAATTTTGAATAACTTAAAATTTTTAATACTTAATTATCCATACGTATTTATTTAAAAAATAATTTTTATAAATTATATTCAATCAACTAATAGACTATATATATATTTCACATAAATATATTTAAAAGAAGATAAAAAGAAATATCAAATTTCACATAAGTTATTATACCAATTAAATATTTATTAATCTTATTATTATATAAATTTTTTTCACCTTTATTACCAATCTGATTATTTGTACGAGTATTATAAAAGAAAAATATCACATATCAGAATATTTATATGCAATATAATTTCAAGAATTTATATTTAAAATTTTGTTCTGTTTGAAAATTTGTTTTAAAAAAATATATTCAATCAAATCATACAAATATAAAGAAAAAGAGAGTATTAATAAAAAATATATATTTTTATTTTTATCTCCCTTCTAAATAAAATACGTTAAATTATAATCAAAATGAAATCAAATAAATAGTAAATTCAAAAAATAAAATATAAAAATTTTCAAATGTATCATTATCATATCAATTATTCAAAAATTTCGAAAATGTATCATTATCACTATTATATTTGTTAAAAAATAAATTTAAAATAAATAATAATTATATCAAATCAACTAATAAAATAGTAATTTTTTAATTGCCATCATATAAAATACGTTAAATTATAATCAAAATGAAATCAAATAAATAGTAAATTCAAAAAATAAAATATAAAAATTTTCAAATGTATCATTATCATATATATTTGTTAAAAAATAAATTTAAAAATAAATTATATCAAATCAACTAATAAATAGTAATTTTTAATTGCCATCATTAAGGGTATTTTAGAACATTTTAAATTTCATTAAAAGTGATATAGGTAATTTCATTATTCTCTCTCATTCCACTTTTATATATAGTATAAATATTCAAAAATCTAGCTTTAATTTTATTTTAGGATGCAATTGTCACTAATGATCATAATTGGGGTGTCCATGGAATAAAACTCATTCTAGAGCGAAATTACAACCGAAAAAGTTAAGAGTGAAATAATATATTAAGCCTTACTTTTTATAATAATCTCGCACCTCTTTATGCGAAAAATAATAAATTTTTAAGGTTCTTAATTTTCATTCATAAAATAATAATTTGATATATGATTAATACAACTTTAGAATAATAACTTTTACTTTTTTTCAATTATCCAATTAGTGTTTAATTAATCTAATTTTATAATTCAAGCGCTTCATAGATCAAATTAAAAATTGAAGATGCGGTAAGTTTTTCAGGAAAAGTACAATCGCGAATTTATATATTGAGCTGCTTAACAGACCTTATTAAGTGAATGTATTATATTATGAAATTGCTCTTAATTTATTGCTTGATGAATGCAAATCTAATTTTCAAGTTATTTCAATGTGTTTTCTAATTTAATTTATACCATATTTGTTGTTCAATATAATGGTTTTTTTGAAAACAATTTCAAGACACGGTAGTTTAAAAAAAAAAAATCTAAATGTTCCTTATAAGAGCATTGGTTGATAACAATATAGGATATTAAACAAAATTATTAAATTATATTTATTAAATTATTACTCCTTCCATTTCTGTTAAATTTGACAATTTTTAACTTTTTTTTTTTCTATTTCATTTAGATGACACTTTTACGAGATCAAAAGAACATTAATTATTTTATTCCGATTTTACCATTATTTAAAAATATACATTAAATTTTATTTTATACAAGAATTAATTAAAAGATAATTTAATCGATCATTCTTTTTTTTTTTTTTTTCGATTGAGGTTATTCAATCATTTGTTTAATTTTTATGAAAAAGTAAAAAACTGGTAAAATTTAGCGAAACGGAGAGAGAGTAGTTAAATTTATATGGTTTAAATGAATATGAAGTAGGGCCAATTTCATGGGAAACTCCTGTTAATTATTATCATGATAAGATGCGAACCATATCCTTGAAAATGCAAATGATGAATGGTGTCCTCAAACTTCAAGCATTCATGACCATGGAAATGCACCTCTCCTTTCATATTGCGCGCATAGCAGTTTGGCAGTAGTGATCTGCCCAACTCAGTACGATAGTCAAAATCTTATCACACACAAAAAAAAAAAAAAAAAAAAAAAACTTCAAGCAAATCCTTATTGAACATTGGAATGGCAACCTCGTCCCTTTCATATTGCGGCGCCATAGCCAGTTTTCGGTGCAGTCACCACCGGAAGTCTTCGTAGGAGTCTGAAATCCCAAATACATCTCAGTTCGCGTAATAGTCAACAAATCATTACTTCCCACACACAAAAAACAAAAAAAAACAAAAGTCGACAGCACCTTCGTCACTTGTGTAGACATGATAGTTCTTACTGTTAATGTAACAGTATAACGACACGTAGAAATTAAAATTGCCGAACTCCCTCCTCGTATATACTCCTGCAACAAACTAATAATTTTGTACAAGGCCATGCATTTAGCAATCTAACACAGACCAGTACTTTATCCCATCAGCAAGGCCATCACGCGCCATCAAAACCACAAACCAGAAAGCTGTGACCATCTCTATATAGCAACTGTGAAGTCCAACGCACACTCCTCTCTATTATGTACCCAAATCATAATTTACTCCCTCACCTTGGCAACTGTACTTCAAGCTGAAGTCAAATATCTGAAATGTCGTTTGCTGTAAGCGTCTTTTTCTGAATTCTATCAGTAGCGAAACCCAGAATCACGCACCTCTCTAGGTTCTGTAATACTCAGACCTTGCCACTCGGCCAGTACCCATGGATGCTCATGTGCGCCAAAATGGCTTCATACGCTCCCCAAATCAACTGTTTCAGCCCATTACAAAGCTCTGTTTTAATACTCTCTCATCCCTTGTTTCCATATCCCTTCAAAAAAATCTGCTTTCAGCAGAAAGCAGAAACAGGGGAAGTGAGACAGAAAATTTGCCTATCGCTGTTAGAGAAACATGAATCAAAAATCGTTCAACCATTAGTAAAACTTTGGCCAAAGATAATAATAATTGTTAGCGCCACTATTTGCTTCCACCTTTTAGCACACTTTAATCTCCGTCCTCCATTCATCAAAATTTAAGTATTCACAGGAAAGTTACCAAATCCAAAAGCTGAAAGCATACTAGGTTTGCCAAGGAACTCAAAATCTCCAGCTTCTTTCGCATTGTAGGGAAGGCAACGGGAGAGCATTCCACTCAATGCGTTTCCACTATCAGAAATAATTTATAATCTGGCGATATTTTTGCATCTTGCAAAGCTGAGACACGTTGGGGTAAAACCCATTTGCTTGGCATATGGAAGATGAAAGCGTGTCTGATATGCTTTTCGGATATAGCCTGACACTCTCAAAATACAATTCCAACAGAAGCACTATCTCTCTCGCCCAGGAGGCACTTCTATTCATGCAAGGTTTTTCAAGATCAGACTCCCACATGCTAAATGTTCACACTTCCTATAAAAAAAAAAAAAAAAAAAAAAAGTCAAGACCCGCACTTGTAGAGATAGTCTTACTGTAAATGCATATAAGACACGTAGATTAAAATTGGAATCCCTCCTCGTAACTTGCAACAAATAATAATTTTGTACAAGGATGATCAGATTAACACAGACAGTACTCCATAGCAGGCAACGTCCATCAAAACCCAACCCAGAAGCTGCTCTTGCTTAAACTGTGAGCAAGCAACTCTATTAATATATTTATCTCACTTGGCAATGACTGCATAAGCCAAATGTGAAATGTGTTGTAACTTTTGAATCTATCAGAGAAACCAGATCCGACTCTCTTTTCTGAATATGAATGCAGTACCTGGCTGTCGCAATGGCTTCATACGCTCCAAATCCAAACTGTTTCAGGCATTACAGCTCTTGTTTAATACTCTTATCCACTTGTTCCATATCCCTTCAAAATCTGCTTTCAGCAGAAAGCAGAAACAGGGGAAGTGAGACAGAAAATTGCCTATCGCTGTTAGAGAAACATTAATCAAAATGTTCAACCATTAGTAAAACTTGCAAAGATAATAATAATTGTTAGAGCACTATGTCACCTTTTAGCCCTTTATCTCTCTCCTTCATCAAAATTTAGTATTCACGGAAGTTACAAATCCAAAGCCTGAAAGATACTAGTTTGCCAAGGAACTCAAAATATCCCAGCTTCTTTGCATGTAGGAAGGCAAGGGAGCATCCAACTCAATGGTTTCCATATCAGAAAAATTATAATCTGGCGATATTTTTGCATCTTGCAAAGCTTGAGACACGTTGGGTAAAACCATTTGCTTGCAATGAAGATGAAGCCGGGGTTGCTTTTCGGATATGCTTCCACTTTCAAAATCAATTCCCAAAGGAAGCATTTTTTCGCAGGGCACTTTATCATGCAAGGTTTTTTCAAGATCAGACCAATGCAAATGTTTCCACTTCCTATGAGCTTGCCACCCATATTTATAGTCTCCTACTATAGGAGTACCCAATACTTCAGCACAGTGTACACGCAACTGTTGTGCCCGGAGATGGTTGGTTGAGAAGTATTAGGGCAGGGAGAAAAAATTATCAAGAGAAAATAAGGAAATACAAAAGGAACAGCCAGATATTTGTTGGTTGTGATTTATACCTGATGCTTTCTCCCAGTGAGAGGTGACAGCTCCAACCATGTGTAGTCTGCGTTAAGCCAAAGATATAGTTACAGGGCGAAAAGCTACGTTTTTTAACAATCTGTGTGTGAACAACCAGACACTGCAATTGCTTATGGTTCACAAATGCCAATGTAGACATCTCTGATAAAAAAAAATATATATATTCATGTAACAGATACCTGATGCGTTCTCTATGCTAGAAGGGTATGCCTCAATCAAAGGTTTTTAAGTGAAATTTAGAGTGCTATTCAAACTAGTTCTGTTGAGTAGATCAAATCCCATTCAAGAGGCATAATTTAATTTGGCTATAAATTTGTCTTGAAAATAAGAAATAAAGAGTTTTCTGCTTAATGTGGTAGATATGGAGATATATAAAGTCAACTTCATCTGTGAAGAATTGACACTCTTATTATAGTTCATCAATGTTTCATTAGTTGGCTTAGTTCTTTGCCAACAGTTCTTCCTTGTTCAGTCACTACAACACAGTGTGGTAGTTTATCATACTGTGAATGCTGAAATATTTCAATAAACCTTTGGAATTCAGGATTAAACAATAGCAATAAGTGTTAGCTAAATTCTATTCAAAAGCATTTTTACTTCTCTTTGATCTTAAATAAAATAAAACGATCCTGCAAATAATTAGGATTAACAGGATACTTAGACACGTAATTTTCCAAATTTCCTTTTCTATTCTTTAACCTGGGATTAAGATCTACATGAAAATGTATAATCAGAGTTGCAGACAAATGCTAACCTTGAAAAGATTCAAGTACTCTATAATGTGTTACAGCATGCTGAGAAGATGTGTTATGTACGTTCTCAATCACTGTTATTCGATCAGATTTTCCATTGTCCACCAACACCTAAAAGCAATCAAAGCCAAAAAAATAAGCGTCATTTTAGTCAGAAAAACCTTACAAGGAAAAGCCAAAATCCATTAGACATTACTTTCTGGAAATGGAAAACTGTTGCACTATGGCTAGGTCATTACTTGGCATGCTGCCAAGATATCTGTGTTTTTTATTTCAAAGTCAGCCATATAATAAGTCAAGTGTAATCTTTATTCTCTAACACCAGCCTGGAATCTGACACTTGCTCAGTTCACCGCTTGGGGTTACATATGTCCCTCCCTCCAGCTCCTAAATTAAAAATTCTCACAACAAGTTCTTTGGCCCATCATAATAAAGTTTTGATTTTTGAATTACTGCTAAAAGCAGTAATAAGGCAATACTGCTCTTATTTCACAGGGGCTATGCCTCCAAAACTGACTTGTTTACCCAGTAAAGCATTTCTTTGAAGACAAATCACATAAATTGGAGATAAATGAGGTCATGCTGATCATAACGTGATTATTATTGAAGCACTAAAGGAGTTAATAAAAATTTAACCCAGATAGTTCAGAGTTTTCTTAAGAATGCTATGGAAAACTCCTTAATAACAGATGGCCCAGGAAATCTAATCACACTGATCATCCGTCCACGCAATTTAATTAATGAAAGAAATCAACTAGCAGAAATGACCACATTACTATGAATCTCAGTTAGAAATAGACAATTTCTGACAAATGAATGCTCAGGACAAATGCATTAAACAACTTTCTAGGCAAAAAAACCAGGTTCAAGTTTCCTTTTATATTCACCAAATGAGTAACTGAGGTTCAAGCTTTTTGGGCATTTCCCAGTCAGTTTTGACATGTAAGCTGAAATAAGGTAACAAAAATAACTAGACTAACTGTCTTCTTGTGCTTGTGCATAAAGGATTTATGCATCCAAATGATCAATCTTTTAAATTCAACGGTCTTTTCTTTTGTTCCTTCAGTTTAGAATAGAATCCAAATATTCAGAAAAATTAGAGGAGGCTTCCAACAAGTGGTGTTGAAATCCAAAAATTTAAAAATAAATTCAAAAAATTACTTCTGATAATGCATTGCCGTTAAGAATCAAGCTTGTGCCTACCTTTCCCAGTGGTGCAGAAATCAAACCCTTTTGGCATCTTGGCGATCCAATAACAAGTGCCCAATACTTTCTTTGCAGGATTCTTCTTCTGTCACCAATATCCTTGAAAAAGAAGACAACCATTAACCTGTAAGAATAACAGAACTAACAATTTCCCATTTCTCTTGAACAAATGTCTTATCAAATTTAAGCAAAATCAGGGATAAAAAAAGATATAGATAGGCAATTACTTACATCATTTGATGCTGCAAATGTTTTCTCCCGGAAGACAGAATGCAGAACTGTTGTACTTGTTTGTGTCCTTCCCATCACCAGGATGCCACTACTATCTCTATCAAGTCTATGAACCTAATAGACAAAAGATTCAGCATAAAAATATTTGCATAATAACCAAGTACGTGAACAATCTGCAGGAATATTCATGGAAAGAAAGAACCATCTCCATTGAGCTAAGTACTACAGGATGTTGAATAGCATAAACTTTGAGCAACATAAGTAATTTGAGTACAAATCTCCATTATTTTAACTCAATGCTACTTTCAAGTTAATCAGGGACACCCCTAATCAAATTCTACATCACCCACCGTTCAAATTCCTATTACTATATTTTTAAAAAATCACATCCAGAAAAATATGTTATTGTTGAACCCAATGCACTTAAACATGAAGTGACTATGAAATCAAAATTAAATAAAGCAAATTCATAATGAACACACCAGCCTAGGCGGTTCTGAGTAGTCATAAGATAAACAACTTGCAGCCAGTTCATCTAAACTTCTTTTGATGCCAATGCCACCCTGTCCAAACATGTAAAAGAAAGCTTTTTGCGCAAATGATCCAAAAGAACAGAAAACATTCAGGGAGCACCAAAGTATACCTCACCTGAACAGGAATTCCAGGAGGTTTGTTGACAACTATGATGATATCATCCTATCCCAAAAAAAATCACGACATTCAAATTTTGGGCAATGATAAATCTTAATATATCTAAAGTAACAGAGTCAAAGTTACAACCTTATACAACTCAAGGCTACGAATAAAGTTAACTGCTTCTTGATTATAAACGTTCTGTTGTTTCTCAGAAGGCAATGCTTGGACAGTAATAGGAAGAAATATTCTATCCCCTATGCTCATCAAGTCCTTAGCTGCCACCTTCCAGTAATTTCAGATTTCAGAAAAGAAACAAAAAGAGTAAAACCAATAATTCTAAGAAAAAAAACCATAGGACACACCATACCATCAAAATTAAACCATTCATTTCAATTCTCATATATTCAAATGGACCCGAGATGATATAATTTCCAATTCTAAAGATAAAAAGAACAACTTTCTAATAAAACAGAAAGCTTCAATGGTACCCTTTTAACTTTCTGTTCCTCTGCTTGATCACGCAGATTAGAAGACTCCCTTCGAACCTTTAACCGAACAAACCATGAAAAATCACTTCAGATTCCAAAAAATTTAATGTTTCATACAAAACCAAGGACACCCGTGAAAGTGAAAGACCTGTCTCAACCGAAATAGTTTCTGTACGAGGCTTCTAGGGAGTTCCGGACAGCATCGAAGAACCCACTTGAGCGCCGTTGTTTCATTGGCCAGTTTCTCCGAAATGCTGACAGATAACGCTTTTCCCAAGGCGGATCCGCTGATTGTCGAAGTGTAAGGAGGTAAAGTGAACCATTTGCCTTTCTTTTTGTCATCAATTTTATAGTTTTGGTCTTTTAGTGAGGTTTGGGTGTGATTACTAAGGTAGTGACACCGAAGTATGCCGGCAGCTGAGACAGAGTACCGATTGGAGATTGTCAGTGCCGAAGGGAAGCGGAGAACACGGCAGAGGAAGGCAGTTTCCGGCATCAGAGTTAAATTTTTGGGTTTTCTTGGTTTTGAGTTTAGAAGAGACGGAGCGCTTACAGGGGACTAGGAGGGTTTTACGACCCGGAAGTTTGTGACTATATCCAGTCACCGGTCAAAGTTTTGGACCAACCGGAAATGGAGTTCAGGGCTCCGGTTGGTAAATTTTGGGCCTAATCAAAAGCAGGCCAGCCTAACTAAAAAGACCCACATATACAGTGAAATTTAGGATTTGTTTCCTAAATTTTATAATTTTAATTAATAAATTAATATTACTAATAAAATAATAATTTAATTTTATTCTTTATTAAATAAAGGCACTTTTTTTATCAAATAAATAATTAAGGGCACTTGGTTAATTAATTAATCATTGTTATAATGTCCTTGGATTATAACTTCAACTAGTTACATACTTAGACATTCTGTCGAATAAAAATAACTATTGTGTTTAAGATTCAAATTTATAAATTAATGAAAATATTTTTGAAAATTTATTAATTCCATATAGAAATAATCAATATCATGATTCAAAATTTTTCATTTATTTTTTCCAATTATTTGACAAAAACTAAAATTAAAAATAACAAACAAACTAAAGAGAAAAATTCAAATTTTTCTAAAAAGGTAAAGAATATTAAAAATAATATAACAATAATAGTCATTCAGTCTCATCAATATAAAAATGGAAAAGGATATTATTCCAATTTCAAAAACCCACATTTAAAATTAATAAATTGGTTGAAAACTCATGTAATTTTACGTTCTATCATTTAATTAGAAAATAAAATAAATTTTGTAATATTTTTAGTAAAAGGCCTAAATTTTATTATTGACATAGGGTGATGGAATTGACACAATGTCACCATTGAGGTGAAATTTTTCTCTTTTACAAAAAAGTGAACTTGAGGCTATAATGAAATTCATAATTCCATGAATTTTGACATCTTTTTTATCAACTAAATAAAAAAAAAAATGATAAATCAAAGAAATGTTTAAATTCCATCAATCGTTAGACATCAAATCAAGAGGAAAAATTTATAAGGTGAGAATTTATAAAATGTGATCTATTTTATCATCATTTTTTATATGTAAATTCTCTCAAGAGCAACTCAAAGAGTAATACCAAATAGACTCAATATCTCATACATGGGTTGCATTATTATTCTCTACCAAAAGGAAACTGGACATTATTATAAAACTAATTTAAAGGAAAAAAAAAAAAAAAAGATGAGGATAGTACAGTATGAGAAAACAAAAAGGCAAGGTCCTACTCTACACATACTTTAAGAATTAACTAGGAAAGTTGAGGGACCATTGATTAATGTTGCTACTGGTGCATGCCTTTGAAACATCAGTGTCCCTGACCAGGGGTTGGACCACTAGAATCTCTCCTTCTTCCTGAAATTTGAAGCTTTCTTGTTCTGTGTCCCCGACCACCAGGGCTTGGCCCTGAATGCTTAATGCCTCTCAGACTTAACCTGTTGAAAGAATCCTCCATGCCCAGCTTCAGTGTAGTAGCCAACTTCAAATCTTTCATTTGCAGAGCTTCTGATTTGGTGAAAAGAAGCAAGTTCAGTAAGAGCAGCAGAAGAGCATTACAACTTGGAGGCCTTAGTTTCTGAGTCATTTTTGGTGCTGGTGATAATATATAAAACTACAGGAGAGATGCAAGGTATATATAGTAGCTATGGTGCATGCAAAAACTTGGAGTTTGAGCTATAAGAAAGAATTAAAAAAAGAGAGAGTTATAAGTACAATTAACTACTAACTAGTTGTGCTTTTATAGCAGTAAAGGTGATCTTGGGTACTTGATCAAACCCATGTGATTTGTCTCCTAGGATTTTAAGGCAGTTAATAAATAAAGATTTTTGTGAATAAGTCCACGATCATTTTTTTTAAGGTCGCAAATGTTTAGACCCCTTTTCTACGTCAGAAGGTATAGGAAGTGTACATATAGTTATACATCCACAACATTTAATTATGAAATGGGATTGATTTACCTAGATTTAAACAGGATCAAATTAATAAAAAATATTTCTTATTGAAATTATGGCTTGACCCAAAAAAGAATAAAAGTGATAATAATTTTTTTAAAAGTTATGTTTTAATTAATTTGATCTATGGATAGACTCGGATCTTGATAAATTTAATCCTAACAATTTTTTTTTTAATATAAACCATCGGTATCCAGATCCAATTATTAAGGAATGCCTAATTTGACATGAGACTTAGTTATAGTTAAGACTTTTCGCATAATCCTGCAGGTGTATTTAGTGGGGATCAAATTCGAGAGCTCTTTGCACATATTCGGCCTATGTTGTCAACTGAACCACAACCCATAGATTAATTCTAACGAAATTTGAATGTTCTTCAACTAAGAAAATGACAAAACAATAATAAATATTAATAATCTTAATCTATGGAAAGTGAATATATTATTCAATGAAAATAAGTACAAATGCTCAACATGTTGATTGCTAAACTGGCCAGTGATGATTAATTAATATCTTTATGATATTAATTAATTATAAGACAAATGATATTAATTAATTATAAGATAAATACTTGGTCATAGAACTATTTTAATCATAAATGGTATTGTCTTTTGATAGTTTTAAATAAGGTTAAATGTATAAATTGACACTTGAATTTGATAAGAAAAATCTAACGGGATTATGTTAATCTATCAATCTCTTCAATTATAAAATTATACTTATTGAAGACTTTAACTCACTATAAAATTATACTAATTGCACACTTATAAGATAGTAATTTGAAAACCATTCTTTAACAATATTTGTTAGAAAAGACAAATAAAACATCCACTCATGCTATACAATATGTAATTGAAAAATATATGAAATCCTATTTAACACATACAATTCTACAAGTTAAAATATTTAATTGGTATAATTTCTATAAATTGAATAGCATAACCAATCAACTTAAAAGTTAAAGTTGCCGTTAGACTTTCTAGGTGTTAAATTAAGTTCAGCCTCTTAAACAATATCGACTTCTGTGCAAAGCATCATGCATGTTCTCTCTCCTTAGTCCGATTTTCAAAAATTCTTATAAGAAATAGAATATCTAAAAAAGGTGATGAATACAGGAGCACATGGAAGCATATACGAAATAGAAGTCCAATGTTGTAATAAAGGGTGTTAATAAGAAAGCTACACTCACAATATTGTCAATTTTCATGGCTGGCCGACGGTTAGCACTCTATCAATATCAGTCGCAGCCTCCAGGTGGGGGACCAAATTCCATGCAAAATACCCTAATTTAATTAGTTTGTTTGCTTTTTCTTGGTACACGCATTCTCCATCGCTAGTGTAATTGTTTGGAGACTCTTACCATCAAAGCCACTTTCACTTATTTCAACACTGTTTGAACAGAACTCGCCATGGGCGGTTCCAGACTGGAACCTTTACAATATTTGAAATTCCAACTGTCAAAAATTGTGGAATTTTTTAGGTTGAAATCAGCCGAAACCATGTCAATTTTAAAAGGGTGTCGACAGACAGTTAAGCTAGAGATGTTTAATAAAAAATTTCAATCAGTAGGCATTTTAAAGTAGTTTTGTTTTTTATCAAGTCGCAGTTCACGAAATCGCACTCTATTTTTACATATTTTGATTTGTATTAATTATGTGTGGCTGTCATACAAAAAATTTGTTTGAACAACATATCTAACTCAAACCACCAATATTCCCATTTTTTTTAAGAATTCCCCCATATATGAATTTAACTCGTGCAAATTTGATATATGCAAAAAGAACTGTACTTGGGAATTATTTCCTCGTATCTATTTAGCAATATTAGCTATTTTAATAGTTTTTAATTGTTATTGCAGCTGTTGGTAGTTCTATTAATTGTTAGCTGGCAATTTAAAATGTTCGATAAATTAAAATATTTGTTTAACCCTAAAATTATATAAAAAAAATGACATTAGTTGTTTAATTAGCTTAATTCAGAAGAAAAGGCAATAGGTATAATTGTCAACAAAATTTAATTAAAAGCTATACACTAATGTTCAAATGGTTAAAATTTTTAAAAAAATTTTCTACAACCTCTAAAAGCTACGTTACCGAATGCTATAACTAATAAAAATAGTGTACAATTAAAATAAATGGTGTTTTGATTTAGTTAAAACGCTAAAATTTAGCTCAAATGCTGTTGCCGAATAGGGCTCTCTTCTTTACCACAATATATTATACTAGTTTTTTTTTCCCACAATATATTGTTCTTTTTATACTCATTGCTTATATTTGTTTATTTTGATATAATATTAAGTATTGATTATAATTTTTATTTTATATTATTTATATGAAAAGTTAGCAAATTTTTTAGGGCCGGAATTATTTTTATGTAACTGCTAATAAATTGTATATATTAATCAGGTTTAAATTTACTAAGTTTTGAGAATCTATATTTAAAATCATTGGTTCTAATAATTCATATCCTCTTATTAAGTTCAAAATTTATTTAAAAATCTATAAATTTTGATAAAGTTTAATGCAACTATAACCAATTTAATAAAATCAAAACCCTAAATTATAATGAACTTTTACATATAATAAATATAAAAAAATATCAATTCATAAATAAATTATATAAAATTCATTTACACCAAGCTATTGAATTGTGCATTATGTTTTATAATATTTACAAACAAGTTTGTAATTATAATTTTTTAAATGCTTTACCGAGTAAGAAAATAATTATATATCATATATTAGAAATTTTCACTTTGTAATCTTAATTAAATGGTTTTACTCGATAAAATAAGAGATAACTTTTAAACATAAATTGAGGTAAATATTTTCATACATGATCAATTTAATTTAAAAATAAAACCAATTAAATCAAATTTACAAAATGAAAAGTGATTTGAAATCGAATATTAGAACCAAATCGATTCAATCAATTTTGCAAGTAATTTTAGGTTAATACAGTCTAAATTTTTGTTTTGTTTTGTTTTTTTTTTTTTTTTTTTTTAGTAAATATTTTCATACATGTAATTTAATTTAAAAATAAACAATTAAATCAAATTTAGCAAATTGAAAAGTGATTTGAAATCGAATAATTATTTGTTAACCAAATCGATTCAAATCAAAATTTTGCAGTATTTTAGGTTAATACAGTCTAAATTTTTGTTTTTGTGTTGTTTTT